GCTCGTACTGACTTTACAAACAGTCAACAAGCTGCTCGTACTGACTTCACAGTCAACAAGCTGCTCGTACTGAGTTCACAAACAGTCAGCAAGCTGGATAAGTGAACCTATTGTTCTGTTGGAAAAAACACAGAGGAAGGTCTGGGCGCCAAACCAGGTGCTTCAGAAAGTGTCTGCAGACCACGTACACAGAGACTTACTTTTATTTACACGATCTCTGCGATCGGAGGTTTGTTCACGTAAAGGCAGTTGTAGACATGAGAAGATGAAGTTTAGAGCAGCTACTCTTCGGATCCTGTTCGGCTGCAGCTCAGTACCATGCTGAAGTCCACAGTCTGAGGGTTCAACCTAGACCCAGAGCAGCGATCTGGGTTTATTCTTAGCTCTAGTCTTTAGAGGAGTCTGTGCTGATGCTGATTCTGGTCTCTGCAGGGAGACAGGGGCAGTTCTGGACCCGTTGGACCTCCAGGTGTCCAGGGCTGTTCGGGACTCAGAGGACAGAAGGTACGCAGCTCATGACACCTTAAACACTGATTAGAGCTGACCGTGACCGAGCTAACTGCAGCTGCTTGTCTCCGCAGGGGAACCGAGGCCTCCGGGGGAACAGGGTGAGTCGGGCCGCAGGACTGTGAAGTTCTGTCCAGGACCATTTGGACCGTGAAGTCTCATTAAGAGCTGGGTGTTCATGTTGCAGGGTGAAGATGGAGAGGATGGACTGGATGGAGTCGATGGAGAACAGGTACCAGCACCACACCTCATCATCATCATCATCATCATCATCATCATCAGGGTCCATCTTTTCTGCTGGTCTCAGACCAGAACCAGGGTTCTGCTGATAGGAAGCATCGTGTCAGTCTGAGTCCCGTCCCTGTTTCCAGCAACAAAACTGGAAGTTTTCCATCAAGCTGTGAACTGAACTCAACAACAACATAAACAAACAAACAAAAAGAACAAACAAACATAAACATAAACAAAGATACCATAAACAAATACAAACAAACAGAAACAAACAACCCTCTGCGGTTCTCATTCTGTTTGGTTTTATTTGTTCAGCTTGAATCCTGATTGGCTCTGGTTGATATCAGCAGAACCCTCTGGGCAGATTCACACCGGCCCAGGTGGCTCTGAGGAAATTAGCAGGCGTGTTCAGGAAAGCGGCAGATTGGAGGGACTTCTGAAGCCCACGATGCTCACCTGTTTGTGTTTCTGTGTTTCCAGGGAGCGACGGGTCGGGACGGAGCTCGAGCAGAACCAGGAAACCCAGGAAACCCAGTAACTCACCACAAACCCCTGTCCTGAAACACTAACGAGCTCATGAGCACATATGAGTTCACGAAAAAGTAGACGAGTTTATGAAAATGTAGATGAGTTCATGAGAATGTAGATGAGACCATGAGCACATACGTGAGTTCATGAGCATGCAGATGAGTTTGTGAGAATATGATTTCATGAGAACATAGATGAGTTCATGTGTAGCTACAGAGCTGCTGACCTCTGACCTGCAGCTGCTTGTTTGACAACTTTACCTGGTGTCCTCAGGGGATCCAAGGTATCAGAGGAGAGCCAGGTCTGAGAGGACAGCGAGGACTGAGAGGAGATCCGGTAAGTTTACCTTCTAACTACAGGGTATCACAGGTTAGTCAGTCAAGACAGCCAGTCACAGTCAGACAGTCAGTCAGATATTCAGTCAGACAGATGGTTAGTCAGACAGTCAATCAGACAGTCAAATAGTCAGTCAGACAGTCAGGCAGAAAGGCAGTCAGGCAAGTAGTCAGATATTCAGTCAGACAGATAGTGAGTCAGTCCGTCAGACATTCAGTCAGTCAGTCAGACAGTCCATCAGACAGTCAGTCAGTCAGACAGTCAGTCAGATATTCAGTCAGACAGATGGTTAGTCAGACAGTCAAACAGACAGTCAAATAGTCAGTCAGACAGTCAGGCAGACAATCAGTTAGACAGACAGACAGTCTGTCAGTCGGACAGATAGTGAGTCAGTCCGTCAGACATTCAGTCAGTCAGTCAGTCAGACAGTCCATCAGACAGTCAGTCAGTCAGACAGTCCATCAAACAGTCAGTCAATCAGTTAGTCCGTCAGTCAGATAGTCATTAAGGCAGACACTCAGTCAGTCAGTGAGTCAGTCTGTCAGACAATCAGACAGACAGCCAGTCAATCAGTCAGTCAGTCAGTAAGTCTGGCAGTCAGTCAGACAGTATGTCAGACAGACAGTCAGTCAGACAGTCAATCAGTCAGTCAGACAGTATGTCAGACAGTCAGTCAGTCAGTCAGTCATTCAGACAGTCAGTCAGTCAGTCAGTCAATCAATCATTCAGTCAATCAGTCAGACAGACTGTAAATCTGTCAGTCAATCAATCAGTCATTCAGACAGTCAGTCAGTCAGTCTGTAGAACAGTGTTTTTGGCACCGTCCTCCAGGCCCACAGCATGGTGCTGTCTCCACTGTGCTTCAGTGTGTTCCTTTAACGCTCAGAGGAAGAGGAGCTGAAGCTCTCCTGCAGCAGGTGGAGTGTTTCTGCTCTGACCCACTGACGACGGCATGTCTTACAGGGGGAGCCAGGGTCCGATAACAGAACCCCAGGACCCAGAGGAGAAGCAGGAAACCCAGGTTTACCGGTGAGTGGCGCAGCAGATCAGAACTGCTGAGGTTCAGGTGTCCTCCTGTTGCCAGGTGAGTTTCACTCAGCCTCCATTTCAATGATGAACTTGAAGGACGATTCTGAACGAAGAACTGAAGACCTATTTTATTCATCTGAGCAGAACCTTCAGTTCGATCATCTAAGGTTTATAAAAAATATGTTTTTATTGTCAAAACAAAGGAAGCTGAGTCTGAAGCTCATTATTTTTGTTGTTTACTCAAATTAAAATAAACAAGAAGAGTTGAAATCATCATCATGAACAAGTAGTTCAGTAAAAATCAATTAAATGGTTTGACCTGAACACTCAGATTATCTGTGACTTCCCTCCATTGATCACGGTGACATTATTTACATGAACGCTCCTACAAGCACCCTGCAGATGTTGGATGCTGCAGATGTTGGATGCTGCAGATGTTGGAT